CCTAGGACACCACGGTCCACCACAGCCTAGATCACCACAGTCCACCACAGTCCAGGACACCACAGTCCACCACAGTCCAGGACACCACAGTCCACCACAGCCCAGGACACCACAGTCCACCACAGCCTAGGACACCACAGTCCACCACAGCCTAGGAACCCACAGTCCACCACAGTCCAGGACACCACAGTCCACCACAGCCTAGGACACCACAGTCCATCACAGCCTAGATCACCACAGTCCAGGACACCACAGTCCAGGACACCACAGTCCACCACAGTCCAGGACACCACAGTCCAGGACACAACAGTCCACCACAGCCTAGGACACCACAGTCCACCACAGCCTAGATCACCACAGTCCACCACAGTCCAGGACACCACAGTCCACCACAGTCCAGGACACCACAGTCCACCACAGCCAAGGACACCACAGTCCACCACAGCCTAGGACACCACAGTCCACCACAGCCTAGGACACCACAGTCCACCACAGCCTAGTACACCACAGTCCACCACAGCCTAGATCACCACAGTCCACCACAGTCCAGGACACCACAGTCCACCACAGCCTAGGATACCACAGTCCACCACAGCCTAGGACACCACAGTCCACCACAGCCTAGGACACCACAGTCCACCACAGTCCAGGACACCACAGTCCACCACAGTCCAGGACACCACAGTCCACCACAGCCTAGGACACCACAGTCCACCACAGCCTAGGAAACCACAGTCCACCACAGACCACCACAGTCCAGGACAGCCTAGGACACTGCAGTCCACCACAGTCCAGGACACCACAGTCCACCACAGCCTAGATCACCACAGTCCACCACAGCCCAGGACACCACAGTCCACCACAGCCTAGGACACCACAGTCCACCACAGTCCAGGACACCACAGTCCACCACAGCCTAGATCACCACAGTCCACCACAGTCCAGGACACCACAGTCCACCACAGCCTAGGACACCACAGTCCACCACAGCCTAGGACACCACAGTCCACCACAGCCTAGGACACCACAGTCC